ATCCTCTCACCCCCCCATACCTCTTGCCTGTACCCCAGTTCTTGTATGCATAAATAAACAAATCCTTAAAAAAAAAGTTTTAAATAAGGGCCTCCCTGGTGGCACAGGGGTTAAAGACTCTGCGCTATCAAGCTCTTGCCAGCCACTGCCAGCCACTGTGGCATGAGTTTCGTCCCTGCCAGGGAGACCTGTTTCGCCTGCTGCTCTCCTCAGCAGTGTGTTTCAGTAGATCCACCTGTTTGCTCCCTGCTCTGTGGTGAATCCTCTCACCCCCCTGCATCTGTGGCCTAGACCCCAATTCTTGTATGCATAAATAAATAAATCTTGAAAAAAAAATTTAAATGAACACATAATGAAAATGTAGGACTACCCATAACCTAACCATCCTTCTTACAGGGGCATTTAATTTGTTTGGTTTTTGCTGTGATAAAATCTTGAACATTCTTTGCATTCTACAGTATTATGTATGTATTGGGCCATGTGCTATATGCTTATTGGTATCTTTTTCATTCACATTTACTAACTTCTTTAAAAATGAGGATAGCAGGTATTTAGTTTTCAGTATGACAGTACTTTAGAAATGTTTTGGGGAAAAAACTGAAATATCTTCTTAAGAGACTGACTTTTAGAAGGCTTAGGCTACAGGTTTCACTCTGATCCTGAAATTAGCCAGAAATAAAACTTTCTAAACTTCAAGAAATCTCTTGTTTGTTTTAGTTATTGTTACAGAAGCAACATACACAATAGTTTGCATGGGAGAAAAGGAGTGTCTTGTCTGAGAAAAAAGGCCAGATTTCTCCTGAAATACAGGGTAAGTGGTAGGTGCAAACCATATTGGAGAAAGGACAAGTGCTGATCAGTAACAGTGGTCTTCAGGGGCTGGAGAGGCAGTTAGCAGGAAAATAAAAGCCATGAAGACTGCCTGTTATGATGAGACTAATGATACGATTCCAGCAGGTTGGTACATAATGAAAAAGATACCCTTACATATATAGCAATAAGAAGGTCCTTGCCCAGGCCTTTGAGTGCCAAACTCAAGACTGATCTTCTGTATGTAGTTTATTTTAGAATTCACCTTGATGGGACAGTATTAATATTGTATATTATTTACTATATTTCTGCCTCCTAGAATTAATTTAGCAAATGATTGTTAGATATTATGTCTTATTAAAGCAAATGCATTTTGATGGAATCAAATGTCCTTTGTATTTTTAAAAAAGATTTATTTATTTATGCATACAAGAACTGGGATGTAGACCAGAGGTGGGGAATGAGAGAATTCACCGGAGACAGTGGGGAGCAGAATAGGTGGATCTGCTGAAATACTATCGGGAGCAGTGGGGGAGACAGCAGAGGTCTGCTGTGGCAATGGTGATACTGTGATAGCGCTCAAACTTAACCAGACCTAACCAGGAAACCCTCCTTTATATTTTTAAAATATAAAATGTTGGAAGTGATAATGTGTTCTGCAAATTCTGTGTTATTTTTTATCTTGTGCTAATGCCAGATGTGTACTTTTAAAGTTGCTGATGCCTGAAATTCTACTGAAGTTAAAAATTAAGGAGTTTTTGAAACAACTAGCAATGAAGCTATACAAATATTACTAGGATAGTGTCAGAAGGCTCTGGAATCAATTTGAAGAAACCCCTACTGGCCAAAATGGGACAGTTTGAACAGAAATCAAGATAATCTCTAAAATGGATTGAAATACATCAAATAATGTTTAAATCTGTGAAATCACAGTGATAAATACAGAGAAAGAGGGAGCGATACATTAATCTCACTACTATAATATGTAAGGTAATGAGGAATTCATTATTTTGAGAGCTGGTAAATAAAGGCAAAGAATTGAGTATTCAGCCTGACCTTCCTATATGAACTGTACTGCTAGATAAATAAGTGAGGAAAATTTTCTCTGTAGAAATAATCTTCCTAGTAAATGAAGAAGGGATAAAATTAGAATATTGGGCCTCCCTGGTGGTGCAAGGAGTTAAGCACCGCACTATGAAGCAATCCACAGCTTCTGTAGCACGATTTGGATCCCTGGCCCACCAGAGAAAAACCCATATGGTGAAGCAGACCTCTCCTGTGTTGCCTGCTGCTCCCCTTAGCAGTGTATTTCAGTCAGTCTGCCTGTTCTGTTCCCCTCACTGTCTCTGGTGAATCCTCTTACCCCCCACATTTGTGGTCTGTATCCCAGCTCTTGTATGCATAAATAAATAAATCTTTTAAAAAAATAAAAGGGCCTCCCTTGGTGGCACAGGCGGTTGAGAGCAGTGCTGTGAAGCTGTCTTCAGCCTCTGCAGTGCCAGTTTGATTCCCGGCCGGCTGGGGAGGGTCCCACATGGAGTGGCAGACCTCTCCTGTCGTGCCTGCTGCTCCCCTCAGCAGTGTATTTCGTCAGTCTGCCTGTTCTGTTACCCGCTCTGTTTCTGGTGAATCCTTTCACCCTCCTGCGCATCTGGCCTGTACCCTGGTTCTTGTGTAAATAAATAAATCTTTAAAAAAAAATTAGAATATCACCATTTTCTAATCTCCCAATGAATAAATGGTCCCAACACTGAATAGCAACACATTATCACAGGTAGACAAGCAAATATTATGTGGCTTCTGATGAAATAATTCACCACAACTTACAAGTGAGTGATATTAGCCTAGTAAAAAGAACCTGAATTTGGATAAAGCCCTTACATGTGCCGATTTATAGAAAATATATAAGAGCAGCACAAAAACATGGAATTCAATTAGCAAAATTCAAACTGGAAACTACCAGAACAAAAATTCAGGACAAACAGCTTGGTTTCATCAGTGGATAATACTTAAAAAGATAACCTGTACTTTAAAGAATTTTAAAAGACACCTTAGTCTGTAACAGCTCTGGACCTTTTTAGTTTCCACAAACATTTTAACATTTCTAACAACTAGAAAATTGAAACTGAAGATATTTGATGACATTAATAAAATAAGTTATTATTAATGCTTTGCTTGTGATGGTGTTGTTTGTTAACCAAAGTTCTCTTAAGAATACATTTATATTTAATGAAAAATTATATGTGAGATTTGCATTAAATTAATAGTTATTATTGGAGGCAACCACCAAAAGAGCAAAGAATGGTACTGGGTAAAAGTAGAGGTAAAATGGGTAGGAAAAAAATGATTATTGTACAAAAAAAATTTATATAGAGGTGAGGAGATAGTGGTGTAGGTAGAGATGAGATAAGATTGACCATGAGTTGGTAACTGTTAAAGGTGAGAAGTGGATATGTGGAAGTTCAAACATCTTTATATAACTTCTTTCTTTTTGAGGTTTATTTATTTATGCATACAAGAACTGGGGTATAAGCCAGAGGTGCAGCGGTGAGAGGATTCACCAGAGACCAGAGTGGGGAACAGACCAGGCAGATCCACTGAAACACACTGCTGAGGGAAGCAGCCGGCGAAGCAGAAGAGATCTGCTGTGCCATGTGGGTTTCTCCCTGGCTGGCTGGGGATTGAACTCGTGCTGCAGTGGCTGGTGATAGCTTGATAGCGCTGTCTTTAACCCCTGGGCCCCCAGGGAGGCTCTTCTTATAATGTCTATGAAGTACTCAATCTGTGGGTGAAGAGAAAGTGTTAGTGGCACATTGTCTTTGGTTTTTATCACAAAAGATATTTTGAATAAGACTGACAAGTCAGACCACCAGTGGCTATGGTGAAGATGCTTTTCTGGAGGATGGGTTTCTTAGGAGAATTAGATTTTAGCCCCTGCTTCGCTAATTTCACTGGTAGCCTCCATATTTTAATGTACAGGAAGATAATATTGTTAGGTTTGCTTTGCTCGCCTTTGAGAAATAGAGACAAATGACAAAAATACTCACTAGATCTTCAATAGTTTTTTGCCAAATAAGTGAAGAGTATGTTTACATAGACAGTTTTCAAGAAAACTTTTAAGCCACATGTCCTTTGTGTTCTTGAAATTATCTTCAGTATTTACAATATCTGATGTTCCTGATGAATTCTTGACTCTCTAAGGAAATGTTTATTTTTCTTTATTTCAGGAGGTATATATCTACACATGTACTTGAAGATTATTATTAAGCAGTTAGAAGTTTCAACCCACTCTTGGGGAAACTTGACTACTTTTTAATTGTATACTTTATTTCACCTAAAAGTAGAAATATGTAAGTTATATCTAGAAATGGTTTCAAGTTCTAAGTACTCATTGTAAAATAAAAAAGAGGGTTACCTGAGAGTAGGGACAGATTTACTTATCTACCAGTTCAGTGTAACTGTGGAATATATTTTTCTACTGTATTTCAGACCTCCAAAGCCCAGGCAACCCAGATGCAGCAGCTGAAGTACTTTGTAATTAGTCTTCTATTCTTTCCTCAATTAAAATTCCTATATATTAAGGAATTACACCAATTGTTGATCTAATTATCTGATTAAAAAAATCAGTGACAGTATAAATGACTGATTATGATAATTCTTTTTGACTGAAATGAAATAGAAGTAAGTCTCCAGCTAGCAGGAAAAGGACACTGGGTAATTTTGAGTAGAAAGCTTTCATGAGTGCCCCCATCCTCCAGAGTTTTTCTGTTCTGCAAAGTATATTATAGTATGCCATCATTTTTAAAACATGCAACCAGTTTACAAAATAAAGAATATCGTATGCTAGAGACCTTTCGGAATAACTCAATAATGCTTTATTTGATTTTTAATATTTTTTAACGTTTCCATATAAATTTCCAAAATAGGGAAAATAGAAATGTTATTTTATTTTCTACAAAATGTAGTCTTTGTGCACCTAAATGTAGTCTTTGTACGCCTTTGCACACTGAAACGCCTCTAGTGTCCAGAGTGACTTGGAATTGTGCATTTGGGTACCTGGCAGTATTAAAGTTTTTCTGTTACTTTATTATGTAAAATCATTCTTTCCCTAACCATAGTAGGCATGTTTTATTGGTTATAAAATCTCTGTTACAAATTTGTTTGAAATTAATTTTTTTGTTTTATTTTAGAATGGCAGAATTTGGTGACATATGGAAGCTTTTTGAACTTGGCTTCCTGTAATGACCTGTACGTCTTTATGCAGAGACGAGAAAAGTACTCCACAGATGTTCAGAAAGGAGGACAGGGATCACAGACCCTCAGAGTAGAAAAGGTACCATCAATTGATGAAGCAGGTAGGTATACATCTTTTTAATCTCTTTTCTCCTGTATATTGATAGAGTTTGTAGAAGGTTATTCCTTGAATGTTTATAGAACTTGCCTATAAAACTATCTAGACTAGTGTTTTCTTTGCCAGGAGCTATTAAACTGTTATTTTAATTTGTTAATTTTTCTATTTCTTTTTGACTCAGTGTTGGCAAATTCTGTTTTTTTTTTTTTCTAGGAATTTGACCACTTAAACTTAATTTTTAACTTACTGGAGTGAAATTCATGATACTTTATTTATACTTAATAGTATATGTACTTCCATCCTTTCGTATTCCCAGTGGTGGTTATCTTTTTATTATATTGCCAGAATTTTGTGCATTTTATTTTTTTAGGACATTTTTTTACTTTGAAATTTGTATGTTTGTTTGTTTCCCTTTTTATAATATCTATTTTTATCTTAATTATATCCCTTTTTCTTCCTTTTGCTGTTTATTCTGCCAATTTTTAACTATCAGATATTTTGTTCATTCATTTTGAGCCTGATTTTTTTCCTAAAGTGGGCTTTTAAGCCATAATAACTCTGGTGGTAAATTTGACAGTCATTCTCCCTTGTGGTTCTCCCTAATTTTTTGCTTTACATATTTTCCTTGTTATTAAATGCATATTTAGGATCGGTAAATTTCACCAATGAATTATACCTTCTGTCATTATGTAACAATTGTTTAATTACATCTTCATTTTTTGTTATTAATACTTGCCTGCTATAGCTTTTCCATTCTTTGACTTTAACCTTGTTTTGTCCTAATTTGATTATCTTTTAAAAAAAATTTTTTTTAAGATTTTATTTATTTATTTATTTATACAAGTACTGGGTACAGTCAGAAGCATGGGAAGGTGAGAGAATTTACCAGAGCCAGAGCAGGGAGCAGAACAGGCAGACTGATGAAGTACACTGCTGAGGGGAGCAGTGGGCGCCGCAGGAGAGGTCTGCGTGCCATGTGGGACCCTTGCCCAGTGCCTGGGGATTGAACCGGCACTGCGGAGGCTGCGGGAAGCTTCGCAGCCCAGCGTTCAACCGCTGCGCCACTGGGGAGGCCCTTAAAATTTTTTTTTTTATTTTATTTTTATATTCCCCATACAATTGCAATCCTATTTTGACCCCAATTCCTCCTTTCCCCGCCCCCCCCCAATTTTTTTTTAAGATTTATTTATGTATACAAGAGCTGGGGTACAGGCCAGAGATGGGGGGCTGAGAGGATTCACCAGAGACAGAGCGGGGAGCAGAATAGGCAGATTGAGTGAAATACACTGGCGAGGGGAGCAGCAGGCGAGTCAGGAGAGGTCTGCTGTATCATGTGGGTTTCTCCCCAGCTGGCCGGGGATCAAACTTGTGCTGCAGAGGCTGTGGACTGCTCCACAGTGCCGTGCTCAACCCCTTGTGCCACCAGGGAGGCCCGATAATCTTTGTTTTTTAACTCAAAGTTTAGTCTATTTACATTTGCTGTAGGGCCTCCGTAGTGGCACAGGGGTTAAAGTCAGCACTATCAAGCTGTTGGCAGCTACTGCAGCGCGAGTTCGATCCCCAGGCAGGGAGTAACCCATATGATGATGCACACCTCTCTTGTCTCGCCCATTGCTCCCCTAACAGTGTATTTCAGTAGATCTGCCTGTTCTGCTTCTCCCTTTGTTCCTCTGTCTCTGGTGAATTCTCTCACCCTACCACACAACTCTGGCCTACACCCCAGTTCTTGTATGCATAACTAAAAATAATAAATCTTTAAAAAAATATATTTACTGTAATCACTAAATGTTTGGTCATATTTCTGCCACTGTATCATGAGCTTGTGTGTGTGTGGTTTTTAATTCCTCTTTTGCTTTTTAAAATTTTTTCTTTTTTCCTCATTTAGTTATTCCCTCTCCCCCATAGGCACATACATTTGAAAGTTTTATATGTGAATGTGCTTCAGAATCTAAAGGTAGTTAAAAAAGTTTACTTTTCCTTTTGAAATACACAACTTAGAATTATCCCGTCTTGCCTCCTCTATGAGGCCCCCTTCCCAACTTACATGGTGTTTTTTGGCTAGTATTTTGCATCTGTTCTGCTTTTCTATAATACGTATTTTGTGCTCACTTATATTCTGTATAGGTCCTGCTTTCCCTTTGTTTTTAAAAAAAACCTCTTCAGATAACTTTTTGCTAGCTTAGTAATTCATTTGAAAATGTTTTATTCAGAATATTTTGAAATTCTTTGGTTTAAGCTGCAGTTTTAAATCTTTTTTTTTTTTTTTTTTTTTCTTTTAATAGAGGCATGTTTTATTTATTTATTTGTTTGTTTGTTTCGTTTATACATGCACTGGGTACAGTCAGAAGCACAGGAGGGTGAGAGAATTCACCAGAGCCAGAGCGGGGAGCAGAGCAGGCAGAAGGACCGAAGTACACTGCTGAGGGGAGCAGCGGGCGGCAGGAGAGGTCTGCGCGCCATGTGGGACCCTCCTCCGGTGGCTGGGGAGCAGCCGGGGATCGAACCGGCGCCGCAGAGGCTGCGGGCAGCTTCGCAACCCAGCGCTCAACCGCTGCGCCACCGGGGAGGCCCTAAGCTGCAGTTTTAATGTGAAGTGACCAAGTATATATTTCTTTGTATGTATCCCATTTGGGATGTATTGGGCTTCTTCAAACTGAGAATTGGAATTTTTCTATAACTGTGGAATTCTACAACTCTGTCACTTTAGTGTGCAACATTGAAGAGAATTCCTTTATTTGGTAATTTATTCAAGAAGTATTTACTGAGCGCTTTTTATATGGCAGCAATGAGAATGACTCTGAGTTCATAATCTCTATTACTGACATAAAAAAATCATACAAATAAATATAATATGTGTAGTAAGTTCTGTGATAGAAGAAATACTGTGTGCTGCAGGAGCACATGGGAGAGACACCTAACTGAATGTTGAGTGACTGGAAAAGATTCCGTAAGAAAATATCTACCTAGGGATCTAAGAGCGTATAGGTACTGGTGAGATGATGTGGACAAATTGCAGGTAATTTATTGAGACTTAACTAGCGTATAGGGAATTTGGTGGGATCAGTAGTTTTGAAAGTAGAGGGATGAAACTAAATAGGTAAGCACTAGTCAGACCAAGGTCTTTTTCATATTTGGCTCTTCCCACTGCTTTGTAGGCAATGGGAATCTATTGGAATGTTCAAGTAGAAGATCAGATTTGAGGTTTTAGAAGATAAACACCTGCAGACTTAAAAAACATTTCAAAGGAGGGAGATTTAAAGTAATAAAATGAATGTCTAAACTATGTTAATGGCATTGATGTTTTTAAGGGAGTAGATGAACTCAAGAGATTTAAGAGCTGAATAATTACGATGTGGTGATTGAATCTGAGGGGATGAAGGAAAAAGAGTCAAGTAAAGAATGATGCCTATTTACTAGATTGGACAATTGTGTAGATGACTTCATTGACTTCTAAACTTAGGAATACCAAAGGTAGAGTATATTTTAATGTGAAGATAATGATTCCATTTTGGATATTGGAATTATAGATGCCTACCTGGTTGGTGTAAGGAATATGGGTACTCAGGCTGTTTATTGTCTCTCCCTGCCAACCTCTGCAGCTGCTACTTGTGGCTTTGCTTTCCTTCCAGGTTTCATTGCCCCCATGCGATAACAGTTTATTGCAGAGGGCACTTGGGAGTATGAGCACAGGGCATGCACACCTGTAATTGCAGACACCTGGACAGAGAAGCCAGGGAGCATGGGGTGTGTGCATGTAAATACGAACACATGAGCTGAGAAGCAAGGGATAAAAGTGGAGATTCTTGGGGCTTAGGAGGCTTAGTTGCTGCCTCCCTGCCTCCTGGTCTGGTCCCCTGATTGAGCATTAAAGGCATGTTGGAGATACTGAAGTCTCCAAAATTCTCTTTTCAGCTGCCCGAATCAACAATGAACCTGCCCAGTATGGAATGGTTGCACAATAGTTGGGTATAATACTTTTCTGTGAGACATCTCTTAGCTCCATTACTATAATAGCCTTCTCCCTGTGATGTCTCTTTCCAGTCTCTTGCTTGCTCATTATGTTTCAGCCAGATTGGTCTTCTTAGAAAATACCAAGCTTGTTCTTGTTATAGGGCCTTTACTTGAGTTGTTTTGTTTTTCCAAGGTGCCTTTCTTCATGTGGCTGATCCCCTTTGGTCACTACATCTTAGTTGAAATATTCTGCAAAAAATTGCTCTTTAATCACTGTAAGGGCAGGAATGGGCACAGTGCAGGTTTTCTGATCCCATGCAGACCGGGTAAAGGAGGAGTCAGAGTCCTCAGTAGTTTTGCAGGTTTTTTATTTGGGGTTCACCAGGCATATGGCAGGCAGGGGTGCTGGCTGGGAGGTTGGCAGGCCTCCCAGCCCCCAGCAAGTCTTCACTCTATCTGGGCTCTCTGGCGTTCGTTCTGCTGCTTCTCGGCTTCTGCTTCGGCTTCTACTGCTGCTACTGCGGCTGCTGCTACTGGTGCTGCTGGCGTCCCCCCGTGACGCCGCCCTTAAAAGCACAGTCTTAGCTCAGCTGAATCCCATCTACCTATGCCCACACCCTATTCCAGGTGCCCGCCATCAGGCATGCATTCAGGACAAGGATCCAGCATCTATCCTGATGGCGGAAGGGCAGAAAAGCCTGATATTTTCTTTACCCTACAATCACTCAATCTCAAGTAGCTACCATATCAGTCTTTAATATTACCCTAATATTGTTTCTCTTTGTAGGTAGCATTTAACTACTGATATTTTCAGTGTTTTATTTCTTCATCTCCCACTTGTTTGCAAGCCCCATGACTGCAGGAACCATGCTGCTTACACCAGCAGTCTGCCCATAGTAGGGGTTTAATATTTGTTTATAGGGTTAATGCACAGAGTTCTAACCTAGGGGCAGAGATTTCAGAGTTAGTAGCTATACTCAGCTGTCACCTGTGTATTTCAGTGAGGAGATAAGATCTTCTAGTACAAAATCTCTAATGAACAAGAGGCAAGTG